GTAATTAATGTTCTTTAGACTTCAATTTTAGTGATAGTGGAGGAGGGTTTTTTTAATGACATTAATATTGGAAGTTGGGTTCGAGAGAAGGGTGGGAGTGGTGCCACGGAGAGAGAAAAATTGAACAAAGCATAACCTTCCCTAATCCCAATAGAACAAAAAAATGAATAGAAAAATGTTTTTTTTAATAAGAGGCTTATATGACAGTTTTTACTCATCGAACCCAACTTTCCGTGGAATTCGAAAACTCATTGTATATCGGAAATGTGAACATGGTATAAACAACGTCGCCAACCACAAAAATGTACAAAAAGTCACGTACGCCTCGGTGCGACGACCACGATACATTTGATCTCGACTAAATCATCATCTACGAATCTTTTTAAGAAGCCAATGTAGTGCGGTATGTGCAGTCGATAAAAATCACTGAAAGGTTAAAGAGGTCAGTTGGTCTCGTTCTGATTAAATTAAAATGTTTACCGATAAAAAGCTAAAACTAACATAAATTAAAATGGAAGTAGATCTAGATCTAAACCATGTTCACTAAATCTATTAAATGTGAGATGTAAGCTAGACTAGTAGTTGAATTAAAAACATAGATATAGATAGGTACTAAACACGGACACCGATAAAAATTGGCTGTGTAGAAAAAGAGGTTCGGCTACAGTCATGTTACAGAGTTTCTTTCAGGCATCTCCCCCCCCCCACCCCCCAAACGAAAAAGAATTTATATAGAAAACATATTACTTTTACCAGTGTTGTCGTTGTCGTCGTCCCCCCCTCGTCCCCGCGAGAAAAAAGTATGAAGCAACACTGGTGGGTTTGTCTTTTAGTTACACAGCGTTTACACTTGCGACATGTATACTATACATGTATATTATACAAATCGGGGGGGGGGGGGGGGGGGGGGGCTCGCAACAAATTAATGATATGAAAATCATTTTTCCCACGGAATATGTATACTTATGGGGGCTCTGCTTGCTGCGGGGTTTTTTTTCTAGACATGTATAGTATGTTGCAAGTGTTATTCTCTGTTTATTAATTGTGTTCTTCCCTAAAATTTACATCTACTTTTTAATACTCTTATCTGAGTCCTGTTGTTGGTTTTACCCTGAAACTATATTTTCCCAATACAAGTTAATAATCAGAATGGTTTTATTATTATCTAGAAATGAAGTACTTTACCCACGCACTTACACCGCTCCTTCCCCTCCCACAACCCCTTTTTATTGCTCCATGTACCGCGCCTCACCGTAAATAGAAGAATAACTTTTTTTGTCCTACAACTACAGCTTAAAGCTGACTAACACACCGGGGCGACTACCCACACCAGACTGGTTAGGATCGTGTAACAACAAAACTCTCCTTGCTACTAAACCCTAACCCAGTGTCACTGAATGATTTAAACATTGGTACCTTCAAGTCAGGTTCACTGTCTAAAAGTTTCAAGAGCAGTTGTATATATTCAGGAGAGGGAAGCATGTCCTATTAAGCGAAAGTACACAAACATTTCATACAACAAGGCCATACATCACATAAAAGGCTGACAGAACCTCAGAGTGATTTTACTGGGTTAAAGTTTTTTCACCTTTATGGCAAGGGTTATGTCATGCATTTTTGGGGGTTTGAAATCTGAAATGGTTAATAAATAAACTCGAATAGGTTGTTGGAATTTCTAGACTACCATTATTATCAAGTAAGCTATAAAAATGTGTGAAACCATTCAAATCAATATTCATCATCATATTTTCCTGTTTGTGTCCAAGATATTAAAGGCAGATGAAGTAGAATTCATCTGTATCATTTACCTCGGCATACAAGAGCTGACTGTGGTGAGCTCAGATGCATTGGCTTCCCTAACGTGGGTCGGGTACTCATCAGAGCTTAATATGCTGAGAAAGATATCCTACAAACTCAAGTCTGAGATCCTAAATCTTTTGGTTTAACAGCTGTAAACTCTACCATCCAGATCAAATCAAAATTAAATTGCAGATTATCATTACTTGCTTATTATTGTTTTGTTTTTTAAAATACCCACTTTGCGTTATATAAACTTATAGATTTTATATAATAATTATCTTTAATAAACTATTTTTTTTAGATATTTTAGTTGGGTGCAAATTAAAATTAACTGTTGAAATGGAACCATTTTCATCCCATTGATGCTATGTTTACTCGCAACACTAGAAGTTAACTGACGGAACATAAGCACATCTGCATCACAGGTGCCTAGTAGAAAACATTAACAGCTCATCAACAGCTAATTGTATACAGTTAGTTCATAACAATCAAGTTAGTGGACAGATTGTTTAGGCATAAGTAGGTTTTTTTTTCCCTTTACACGTCTATCCTTTAACAAGAAACTACTCAGTAGTTCGAGTTAAAGCTATTCTATGTAATATTTTTACTATTTATTATCCCTTAAAATACACCTTTTTTTAATATCTTTTAATTAAGTCTATGAAAAAATATTAAAAGGAAAGGCTAAAACCTGTGTGTTAAGAACTCCCTATCAAAAATATATAAATGAAATCAAACACAAGCACTAAGTTTTAAAAACTCCCAAGATAAGAGAACAGATTACAATGAAGTGTACTGAGCAAGGATCCTGGTTAAACAAAATACCCTTGCCAGGGTGAATCATAGGCTTAAATTTTGGAATGTTATGAAAAGTTTGACTTTTGGATTAACCAAACTGACATACTGAACCAATAATCTTATTTTCTTTTGTTTTAACAACCAATACTAAACTCTTTTAATAAGTGCCTTATGACATACCAGCATTTAAAAATAATTTCACCACCTTGTCTTGAGAAGATTGATCTATATATCTAAAACACTTACGCCACCACAGGCATCGATGTCAATCTTTAAAACAATCTTTAAAAGTCCTACAAATTTTCCTATTTCAGACTGTTTGATGTTTACCTTCGGCATTGTAATAATACTCTATGTTAACTTTTCAATTTCATTAACAATGCCTGCTTCCAACCCCTCTTTGAATCATTTCTAAAAATATTTTAGGGCCATACTTACATTAGTCTAAATCAGGTGTAGATTAGTGTAGAAGCAATATTAAAACAATTTTTACCTTTACCCACCAAACTTACTAACTAGATTTTAAACCCAAAAGAACAGTTGTTTTATTTAAAGAAACGCAGTATATCCACCATCATTTTGGGCATAATAATTACTATGAATGAATGGGAACAAGTAGTGACTTACTATTAAGAGAAACTTTTCTTGGAACATTATTCAAAATCTCTTGTATAGTTTATTAAATATCTTTATGGCTAATCTTTTACCCAATAAATCAAAGAAATTTTTAAACTATTTAACTATAGATCTAGTGACTCTTTAATTTTGCGATAAGAATAGTATTTAAGCCCCACACGTTTTTTTGCTGTTATGCTTAAAGCAAAGAAATGATAACGGAATAAGTATTTCAACAAACAAGCAGCTTCTAACATGTAAATTTAAAAGTGAAAATTATATATATATTTTTTGGACTATATTTTCTTTAGCTTTATTATACAGTTTTTGTTTTATTATTATTATTATTACTGATTGCCATTGGAGTGTTTCAGTGGACAAACTACTAATTCAAGATTTGCTAAACCTACATTTGTCACAATTTGTGTATATCTATATCTATGTCAACTAGTGACATTATTTCAAATTAAAAACTAACCCCACCAAACACAACAGGTTAAACTATATTTATCAATATATATGTTTTTCAAATACACAAAAGTTCAAGATTACTATTTTAATTTGGATTATGTAAATAAATAAATCTTTTGTAGTTACTTGCTACCCTTTAACCAATTATTTGCTATGCTATGATGAAGCAAAAACACTGCCAACCCACTTTAACAGAATGGCTTGTATTGCTGTATCATTAAATTTTATTACAAACCTAACCAAACCACAATTTTTATCATTCTCATATCAGCAATAAGCTTATACTGCTACAGCTGGTGGTAAAACTATGACTGTCAAATACATACAGGGCCCAGAGTTTCTTCCAGTCCCCCCCCCCCCCCCGAACGAAATGAAATTTATATAATGTATATAGAAAATATATACTTTTAGATTTCAAGTGCCCCCCCCCACCCCCGGAGAAAAAAGTCTGGAAGAAACACTGACAGGGCCAGAGTTCAAATCCTAGAAATAAATCTAGTTCCCCGTACACTAGTGTCAGATTCCTGATAGAAAGAGAAAGTCTGCAAGTAAGGAAGATGAGACAGACTATCTGGTTTCTATAAAAAGAAGCCTATCTGTTAAAATTAACCCTAACAAAAACATGGTTAAACTTTGCCAAAACTAAAATTTATTCCCATTTTACTTTGTATAAGAAACATTAATTGTTTTCAAATTTATGTTATGACCTACATAATCATTCATAATCAAATATGGTAGGCTTTCAGCTATAAAATTTATTTTTTAAACAATCTGAATAGGGTACATCATGTTTTGTAAATAAAAAAGAAATCCCACTAAAAACGTATCAGTATCACAACAGCCTGGTTCAATCATAAAGTTACTGGATAATCATATTTATACTTCAAGATTAAACTTAACCCTGACCTTCTAAGAATGCTAGCAGGATATACCAAAGCCATTTTTTTGCCAGTATCACTAAATTTACCCAAACAGTGATACAGATAAAAGAAACCTTATTACAGTACTATATTACCATGCTAGTGAAATAGAAATTAGAGTGACCCACTAGAAACAATTACAAATTTAGAGGGTCCTGTCGTAATATTAATTACTTTTTCTTTACAACAAAACTACCCTACTAAATATTAGAAAATCTATAGGTAGCTAAACATTTTTATTTTTAAGTATGCCTGCACTCACAAATGACCACTGGCTTTAAGAATCATATATATATATCATATTAACTAGGCCTATAATTATGGATAAGGTAGGCTTTAAGGTTACAAATTGATGCATCGATAGGTATATAGCATGAAAGACGTCTCCCAACTTACCAAAATAATCCCCAGCTGCTATATGATCCATTTCTTCTTCAAGTTGTTGTGTCAATGCTGCGAGTTTACGTTCAGCATCAGAAGGGCCTTTACTTTTGGGAGGCGTTACTTGGAACGCAAGATGAGACTTCATTCCAGGTGAAATTATGGATGAATTTCGAGACCCTGGATTTGCTGACCCAGTTTGAACCTGGATTCCTTGAACAGGTGCCACTAGTTTGACGTTGGTTTTCTGTGGCTGATTTGGGTTGATATGCTTGACGGAGGTTTGAACGTCATGAGGACCATGGTATGGTGGAGGTGGTTCCATCTGGGTAGTCGGAGATTCAGGACCTTTTTTAGATCCAGAGCTGGTGATGCTCATATCCCTTTCCAGCTGCTGCGTGAGGGCGGCGATGGCCTTTTCAGCATCTGAGTTTTGTTGTACAGAGCCGTTATAATTTAGTGGAACCCTGGCGGGTAAAGAAGGCGGGGTGCTGTTTGACGAGGGGTTGCCATTTGAGACAGAGTAATTGGATGAAATAACCATTTGAGATCCACTGTTGTGTGTGTGGTTCATCATGTTGTTGACACTCGTTGCATAGGTAGAGGTATGAACACTTACTGCAGCCTGTGGTGGGAGAGTCCTTTGTCTTGGGTCAGTGTAGATGTGGGGAGGGGCTGGCTCATTGAATCTGTTGTCATTGAGCAGAGACACATTCCGGGGCCCTAGGCTGATGATAGACTGTGAAATCTGCTGATGTGGTCTACCATTACTTCCATCATTTTCTAATCCACCAATAATCCGTTGAATAGGCAGGCCAATACGGTCCTGGGGTCCCGATATGCTAGTCCTTGGACTAGAATGCTTAGAATCGAATCCAGTTGAATTCCAGCTAGACCTAGGACTTACCAAAGCAAGGCTAGATCTAGGGCTCTGGTTGCCAAACTTCTGCTCGTACAAAGCAGGGTTGGTTAAACTAGTACGTGGGCTGGAATTCTTAGAATCTCCACTACCCACACTAGAACGAGGGCTTGAATAATTCGAACTATTATTTCCAGAAGTCAGCCCGTGATGGTAAACAGTCTGGTACTGAACGGAAGAACTGATTTGTTGTGATTGCCCGGGACTATTGCTTCGCCCTACCGAGTTAATCAATGTAGTCTTAGGGGCGGGGTAACGAGAGCCACCGATCAATACATTTCTGTCTGGCGAGAGCGGTAGGGGAACTCCCATTGTGGACATCGACTTCCCACCCGGCCAAGGGCCACTCTGGTAATGAGCGGGAGAATTTGTCGAAATGGTCAGCCCAATGTTTCCTCCCAACAGGGACGGGGGGATCGGCGGAGGTTTCGAGTCCCTCACGTTTATGCTACTCACGAAAGTAGCCCGTTGATCGGTGCTGTGTAGGCTCCCGCTGTGCATGTTTTCACCTTCACCTCTTACCTGATCAGTGGAAGAAATATTCCTGTGAACCGAAGTAAAACTTTGCGGAAGTTGTGTAGAATCGCTTGAGTTTAAATACTGATTCCTTACCCCGCCTAAAGATTCCCTGAAATCACTGGCTGATTGAAGAATATCCGAAGGTTTCGAACTTAAAACATTTACTTTCACATCGTGCCACTGTTGTTGTTGGGTACTCTGACTTCTCCCACTTTGAATACTGCTACTCCCTGAACTACTGAAACATGTAACACTATAAATATGATTCCCTTCACGAAACACGTTCACATCTTTTTTAGCCTCGCCGTTGTAAAGTGCCATAACCCTCGACAGGGTTTTCGTACTACAGGCTATAAGTTGAATTCCGTAAATAACTACACACACACTCCGTCAATAAAGCCCTCTCGTTGACTACAATGATACGGCGGCGCAAGGATATGCCGATCGCTTCGCATCGCAGGTGCAAGCCGCATAACCTGTAGTTCGTTCAATGCGCTTCAAAATATAGTTTCATATAAACATACCATATTAATTAAATAATAATAAGATAATTAGCGAAATAAGTTACTAAAACTTATACATCTTTGTTAACATTCTATGTATATACTACTAAAGAAGTTATAAAATCTTTTACAGTTAGATCTTCATTTTTAAAACGCAGTTTTCGAAGCAGCCAAATCTGCTAAAACTAAAAGGCTACGTTTGAAGTTCGGATTTCACATTCCGAAGAACTTGCGTTTTTTTTTCCCCCATCAAGCTAAGTTTCTAAGAAGGTCTAGTCAACATCTAGAATCTAGATATAGAATCTAGATCTAGATCTAGTATAGAAAGAACTCTTATCTGATTCACAGTTATATTTAGTATAATTATAATAATACTTTTGCAGAGATTTTTCAAAAGCTTTGTTATTGTTTATTATTTTAAAACTAGATTTAGATCTATGCCAATCAGTAAGGTGCATAATAAATTAATTTAATTTAATGTTTCAAAACGATGGTTTATCATTTTTAGTAAGAAAAAAATATATTTTAAAACGAAAATGGCAGGCCTATAGATATATCACATTCACTCAACTGTTGTATATTTAAAACGTTTGAAATAAAAAAATCAAACGAGTGGGTTGTTTTTTTCTTATGTCTTAGACGTCTTCTCTGAACCGTATAGATTTTGGTTTTTAAATGTTATATTACATTGAGACCAGAGGCGTAGCGAGGGGGGGGGACATATGTCCCCGGGCGCCGACCTTAGGGGGGGGGGCGCCAAATTGAAAATTTGAGTGGGGGGTGCAAATGAAAACTTCGAGGGGGTGCAAATCAAAAGTTTGAGGGGGGGGGGTGCAAATGAAAAGTTCGAGGGGGGGGGGGGTGCAAATCGAAAATTTGCTCCCGAGGGGGGCGCCAAATTGAAAGTATGTCCTCGGGCGCCGGGGAGGGTCGCTACGCCTCTGATTGAGACTTAGGTCATTACCCTTATGACTGAAAGCGATAGATTCCTTTCGGTATATCTTTAGCCTCCTATAAGCAACGAATACTAGTCCTAACATTTTTATTGAGATAAAACGGAGTTTTAATCTAACGCTGGATCCGAACCCACGACCCCCATTTGTTAACGACGAGCCTGACCCGAATCTCTTCACATCGCATAGGCCTACTGGATTCTTAAAAAATCAAATTCCGCATTTGACATGGATAAAAAAAAAGTCCACCGACCCTCCCCTGTTTACTAGCATACCATCGCCAGAGGAGCATTCCCAGCTTCCACCCTCACCCCACCCCCCTCCCCCATTCACACACACCCATACCCCGCCCATTCCACCCAGCCTGGCGCGGTTTGGGCGCGATGCCTCCCCATTGTGTCCGTCGAGTGTGGAATGTGTCGTTGACACTCAAAGCAAGCAGAAGGCGGAGGGGGATGGGGAACTTAAAATTTCGCGCACATTCCTGGGTTATCGGTGGGAATAATAGATTAGCACAGTGACCGGCTATTCTTAGACACAAGAAGAAAGAAAAGGCTACTTTGGAAGGAATGTCCAGTCTCCTCAGGGGAGATCACGTCATTGAAATGTAACCACAATTACGGATGATAATGTATTGGCTTACTTCCCTTTAATATCTGTTTATAAAATGTCTTACTGGCTGTAGTCTTAGCAACGTATTAACTTTTGATTTGCAAATATCTATATCTGTATGCAGATTTATATCTGTATGTTTTTGTCTCATGAAAATATACCTTTATAGAGCGACTTGTATTTTTGGGTTAGTTATATGCTTTTGGTTATAACTTTTATTTTGTTTTCAACTTTAATATAATGTTAAGTGTTGTTGTCCAATAGGCCTAACCCCCACCCTAAACTGTAGATAGTAGTAGCCTATCAACCCACAGTGTAAGGAGCATCTAATTTTAAAGGAGTTTTTTTTTAGTGAAGACAGAAGATGCGTATACGAGAACATGGCTAATTGCTAAGAAGACAAGTTTATATAATAGTAGCGTTTTGTCATCACCACTCCACTGACCACTACTTAAATTTTTGCAGCGTCAATACGTGGCCTGCCCAGGAGTTGTGAAGCTGGCAGGCGTACCGGCAAAGGTTTATTTATTTTTCGGCCCAGGCTCAAATTTTGACCCCCCCCCCCCCCCCCCCTTTCCCCACCAGTTTTTCCAGTATAAGTTGATACCAGCCCTCCGTACTGTGTCGCTTCTTTACGACAAACCCCACTAAAGACGTCTACACCCATACAATGCCGCACCTGCCCATCTGAGTCTATACCAAGCAGCCAATCAATGATAGCAAAAACAGATTTATTTCCCTTTGTTCCGATTCAAAAATACTTTTCAAAGTGACCAACGGCAATCTAAATGTGATTTAAAACAAAAATTAATGGTAAAATATACTACCACCAAAACTCTTTTGTTATATACATCATAATGTATGGTTGTAGACCTATTAACAATTTTTGTGTATTTATTTAAAAGCTACTAACAAATACAATTGATTTTCATGTATTTATTTACTATACTTATAAAATCGAACACCATTAAGTTAGTCATTTAAATACTAAGGTTAGTTACTGGCTTTTTAGTGCAATGTGGGTAGGCTGTTATTATACTACCTGTATTATTAGGATCATTGATATACATAGCAGGGATATTGTGCTGTAATTCCTCTTCATCTCTTGTGCCACCTAGTTATTTCCCTTTTTGTTATCGAATACATAATTAGTCTTAGTAATATCAAAATTAATATTTTAATAATGTTCTGTTTAATTTAGTTCGAAAAATGACATTTTTGCATTGTCATCAGAGATACATACATTGTGCAAAGAAAATCACTGATCTAGGCTAATAATAAACTTAAAATAAATGTTCTAAAAAAAAAAACAATATGCAAGATTAGTTTTTCTTTATTGCTGTTTAGAACAAAAATATCAAAGTTATGATATCAACCAAAATTAATGTACAATATTAACAGAAATAAGCAGTTTGAGAGTTATAACAAACCATCACAACGAATCAAAATGTACAAATAACTTAACAATTTTTACTGAAACTGAGACATGTCAACAGGTCATATTTTTGCTGTCTAATTTTTGAAATACAAAATTTTACATTTTATTTACAACAGAAGGTAAATTTCAATAGATTTAAACACAGATGATTCAGGTCATGCATGTTACCTATGCTTATTGCATGTTTATGTCAGCCGGGGGTCCCTAGATGTTTACATCAGCAGGGGTCACCAGGAACCCTGTCAGCAGGAATCAATAGATATGTTTACTGTTAACAGAAAAGATTTGTAGGCTATAAAATTTTCAGCCAAAGGAATATTGGAAAAAACCCATGGTCAGCTTTGCAATATGCAAACTTCACTATTCCTGATTCCTTCCCTTTTTTGCACTCTTGATTTTCATCAAGATTCTCTCAGAGCCAGTGGTCATTCAAAGGATCAGATAACAAGCTTGGTTAGATGAACTTGAGATTTAAGACTAGTAGCTAAATAACAAGCTTGATTAGGTGAACTTGAGATTTTAGACTAGTAGCCAAACAACAAGTTTGATTAGGTGAACTTGAGATTTTAGACTAGTAGCCAAACAACAAGTTTGATTAGGTGAAATTGAGATTTAAGACTAGTAGCCAAACAACAAGTTTGATTAGGTGAACTTGAGATTTTAGACTAGTAGCCAAACAACAAGTTTGATTAGGTGAACTTGAGATTTTAGACTAGTAGCCAAACAACAAGTTTGATTAGGTGAAATTGAGATTTAAGACTAGTAGCCAAACAACAAGTTTGATTAGGTGAACTTGAGATTTAAGACTAGTAGCCAAACAACAAGTTTGATTAGGTGAAATTGAGATTTAAGACTAGTAGCCAAACAACAAGTTTGATTAGGTGAACTTGAGATTTTAGACTAGTAGCCAAACAACAAGTTTGATTAGGTGAACTTGAGATTTAAGACTAGTAGCCAAACAACAAGTTTGATTAGGTGAACTTGAGATTTTAGACTAGTAGCCAAACAACAAGTTTGATTAGATGAACTTGAGATTTAAGACTAGTAGCCAAATGTTTGAAGCTGGTAAACTTTTGGTCCTTTCTTTAGCAGAAACCCCTGGTTGTTTAAAGACAATACAAATCCTTCAAAGTCTGGGATGTTCATGCCAATGTCCTAAAATGCAAATTTTTAAAAAAAGTATGATAATTATTTAATCTGAATAATAAGCACTTTGATATGTAGCTTAATATTTATTAGAATTAGTAACACAGTATTGCCTTTTTTATATGTGTGTCAATTTTAAATTAAGTGCTATCCATCAAACATGCACGTATAAAGATAAGAGTCAACTCAGCTTTAACAGGTACCTAAACAGAGTAGCGGAGGTAAGTAAATCTAAACATGCTACAAGCGAAACAATAATCTTCTCTTGTAGATTATGGAACAAATTTGATTATTTTATCTGTCCTCACAATTTCATAACAGTCGTTAAAATCTAACTTCATAATTATTCAATAAAAGCAAAATACACAATTAAAAATTTAACTTCACCTTAGCTGTTTTAAATAGAAATGTCTATGTTAAAACCAACGTTCAAATTAAATTTATATTTAATGATTTAATTAAAAAAATGGACAACTACAAAAGAAATATAATCAACAATTGAGTGTACCTTTGATAGCTGCCTCATCTGCTGGACAGTGAAGATGTTGTTGTATGTTTGCTCTGCAACTCTCTGCAGGGCTGATACAAACTTCTTGGGCTGTTGGTTGTTTTTTTAATTATTAAAATCATTAAAAAAAATGTTGAAATGTATGGACAAGATTATAAGCCAAGTGTATTTAATCAAACATACTCAACTAACTGCTCGATTGGCAAATAATACAGCCATGCTCATCAAACAACATGGTTTTATCATGGGGATGACCTAGTGTAGTACCATGGTACCTAGCTCATAATCTATTCTGTAGTAGTTCAACTATTCAAATTCTTCTGGCGATAGAAGGTATTCTATTGCCAGAAGAATTAGAATAGTTGAACCACGCATTAAATGTTGCATACCTGAGAGCGGCCACTCATTCCTGAACCATGCTGAGATCGTTGAAAGTCTATGAAGCCAAACTGATCTGAGTAAACATCTTGCATGCTAGAATAAAAAAAAAATAATTACTATCTTTAAAAATTTAGTTCTCATTTTGTTAAGTCCATTAACTTTCAACAAAGGGCATTGTTACTTTTAAAAATTATTAATGCCAAAAAAAAATCTTCCCAAGTTGAGGATTCAAGACTTTGTGGGGATTATTTACATTTCAGAGGTATCACAAGAGTTTCCATTTATTATGATCCTATTCATTCACCCCACATTGAAATTACAGCAAACAATTTCATTTTGGTTTCATTATTTTACTTTTGTAATAACAAGTCATTATCTTTTCTTTTATTATCCTAATTAAACACAAGAGAACTGGGGAAAAAATAACCTGTGCTTCATAATCTCCACAACGTCCTCAGCATCAGCCTTGGTGGCCAGTTCTCTTAACTCTAGCCTGGCTCTGGCCTCTGTCAACCTGGTTTGTACACAAACAGAATGATTATTGATTAACTTATAGTTATACCTTATGTGATGTTTACAAGAAGCAGTTATGTCGCGTTCTGGATCAAATACTAAAGTATGGGCTTTTTAAGTTAACTGAGATTATTTTACAATTTGCTTATATTTAAGATAAATTAAATATATTAAGACAAATTGAATATCAAGTTAGTTGTTGCTTACAGGCTTGAGTTATGCCTACCCCTAAAGAACTCACCTTATCAAAGATTCTAGCTGGCGTGTTGTAATGGGTGTGCTATCCCTACTTTGATGCTGGCGGCGTAACTTTAAGTAGAACTCCTGAAAATCATCGTAAGTAACTTAGAACATGGTGTGAGCTTTAAAAAAATCTAATACTAGTTGCATTTATATATTTTAATAGAAAAAAAAACTAACTTGAATGACAGCAGCTGCCTCAGGGCCAATTTTAGGATGAACATATTTTCTGGCATAGCCAACATACTGCAAGAACATACAATTGTTTCCTTTATAATAACTGTTAAAATTGTAAATCAATTTTAAAAATTTTTACTTCACATTTGTATAAGATGGATGTCCAATCAGTGTTTGCTTAAAAAATGATTTTATCAAGTACTCATTTTTCACTTGACCATATATAATGCATATATCAACACCCTTTGAATAAAGTAAGGACTGAGTAGTTAACTAGCACCAACCTTTCTTAGAAGCTGATGTGGAATGTTGTCAGTCTCCTCAGATCTAGCAGACTTCAGTCGTTCACTGAGTGATTTCTCTAATTCCCAGCTAATCCGAGATTCACTAAGGGCATTCCTAACTGGCAGCGTTGCTCTGGGATCAAATATAAGCAGTCAGATAAAACACTATGCAGCATAAACTGCTTTGAATGACAGAATGGTTTGTGTTAATTTTTACTAACACTACATAGAACATGCATATATTCTTGGTTCACAGTATGCATTACAGTGACTATCACAGTATGCATTACATAGTGACTATCACAGTATGCATTACATAGTGACTATCACAGTATGCATTACATAGTGACTATCACAGTATGCATTACATAGTGACTATCACAGTATGCATTACATAGTGACTATCACAGTATGCATTACATAGTGACTATCACAGTATGCATTACATAGTGACTATCACAGTATGCATTACATAGTGACTATCACAGTATGCATTACATAGTGACTATCACAGTATGCATTACATAGTGACTATCACAGTATGCATTACATAGTGACTATCACAGTATGCATTACATAGTGACTATCACAGTATGCATTACATAGTGACTATCACAGTATGCATTACATAGTGACTATCACAGTATGCATTACATAGTGACTATCACAGTATGCATTACATAGTGACTATCACAGTATGCATTACAAAAAAAAAAATTACATATAGTGATTATCACAGTATGCTTTACATAGTGATTATCACAGTATGCTTTACATAGTGATTATCACAGTATGCATTACATATAGTGATTATCACAGTATGCATTACATATAGTGATTATCACAGTATGCATTACATTTAGTGATTATCACAGTATGCATTACATTTAGTGATTATCACAGTATGCATTACAGTGACTATCACAGTATGCATTACAGTGACTATCACAGTATGCATTACAGATAGGGATTATCACAGTATGCATTACAAATAGGGATTATCACAGTATGCATTACAAATAGGGATTATCACAGTATGCATTACAAATAGGGATTATCACAGTATGCATTACAAATAGGGATTATCACAGTATGCATTACAAATAGGGATTATCACAGTATGCATTACAAATAGGGATTATCACAGTATGCATTACAAATAGGGATTATCACAGTATGCATTACAAATAGGGATTATCACAGTATGCATTACAAATAGGGATTATCACAGTATGCATTACAAATAGGGATTATCACAGTATGCATTACAAACAGGGATTATCACAGTATGCATTACAAATAGGGATTATCACAGTATGCATTACATATGGGATTATCACAGTATGCATTACAAATAGGGATTATCACAGTATGCATTACAAATATGGATTATCACAGTATGCATTACAAATAGGGATTATCACAGTATGCGTTACAATGATTATCGCATTATGCATTTCATCGATGAGTGATTATGTTACTCTTTTGGATCTGATGGTCAATAGGGCAGATCAAGTAGAGTTCACCTGTTTCCATGTATCTGTAAGGATAATGTGGTCAGAACTATGCCCTGCCACCTTTACTTTCCTTAATGATTCAGGTACCCTTGAGACTAGGATATTCTGTTGACTCCAATCTGGTAACTCAACTTATAGGTTAGCAGTCAAATGACAATGAATAAAGCGATGCTACATTTTAGGCTGGTTATTTTCTGTACCAGAAGCTTAGGAATAAAAAAAAATGAAATATTTTCAAAAGACAAACCTTTTAGTACCTGCATGTAGAGCCATCACATGCTCTGATAAAACACAGTCCATTTCCTGAAAAGGTAAACAATTTATTCTTTATTCAAGGTAATATTAGAAAATATTGCTTAAATATATACTTAAAGCTTATGTTTAAATCCTTCAGAAATAAAGTTTTGACATTATTGATAAACTGATATATTTTGTTACCTTTTTTTTAACCATAATATTAAAAACTATGACTATGACCTCAATAAAACTTTAACAAAAGGGAAACCTTATACTCAATCCTCTAAATCAACTCACTCTAAATAAACTTAACTAAACTTGTAATGCTGATATTGTTCGTAGACTTATAAAGAATTGATTAACTCAAAATGTAACACTGACCTCATCAGGCTTGTCCAGCATAATGAAAACCAAATCAAACCTGGACAGCAGGGCACTCCCCATTCTGTGCAGATGTGACATTATATATCAAATAACACTACAAGCAGTTAGAAAATACTATTTAACGGTAATGGAACACTTTATTATAAATGAATATCACTTTTGTTGTAAGTGAACAAAAAAAAAAGCCTATTAAGTTATTAATTTAGCAGTGTTGTATAGACAATTTATATTCTACTTTAATGAACCAAAGTCCACCTTTAAATAAATTATTGACCTAGAACAAAACCAGATGAATATGTTAGATAAGAGAGGCTGTTGACATAAACATTTAGACTTAATAATAGAAAACATACTTAAATACTTAATACAAAGATCACAAAACTTTGGGAATAACTATAGCATTATGATTCCAGCAGTGTGGCTCATATAAACAGACTACAGTAACGTTTAATTTTTCAGTGTGGAGTATGAAGGTATCGAAATGTATGAACGTGAACAAAAGACAGCTAACACACAAAATACCATTTAGTAACAAGCATACATACTTGAGATTTTCTGACACTGTCTTGGCTTTGTTATAATGTCCACCTACAGGGTTAGCTGCAGCTAGGATTGAGGTTCTTGCTGGCAAGCTAAAAAACAACAAACCCACTACAATAATTAGAATTGAATGTAAAAAGAAATTTGGCTCAGTTACCTACAAAACCTAACCAACCTTAAATTATAGCTCTTCAGTAACTGGCATTTAATGTAATTATAATGTGGCTCAAAGTTACCTACAAAACCTAATGAACTGTAAATTATCCGTCTCTACATTAACTGACATTTAAATATAATTTGGCTCAAAGTTACAAACAAAACCTAATCAACCTTAAATAATTATTTCTCTACATTAACTGTCAATTAATGTAAAAAATAATTTGGCTTAAAGTTACCAACAAAACCTAACCAACCTTAAACTATGCCAAGTTACAGTAACCAGTGTTTAATGTAACAAAAATGGTAACAGACCTGCAGACAATGCCAGCCTTAGCTATACTGATACTCTGCTGCTCCTATATCCAGTCAAATAAAAATATATGTAATATTTGTCTTTTTATCACTAATCACCTTTTAATTACTTATCAAAATCAATATGTCAAACTCATGTATACAAGAAGCACTCAATAATAATAATTAATCATTAACTGCAAAAATAAGAATTGTTGATACGATGTTATCTATGTTTTTATAAGTATAAAATAATCGTTGATGGAAATTATCAACAGCAAACTTCTAAGTATTTTCAAGGAGGGTTTTGCATACTAGAGTTTTACTTGCTAAAGTATTACCAAACAAGAGTTTTATCTGCATCAAGAGTCAAGCAGAAATAATTTAAAGTGCAAAAATAGATAGAAAGCAACAATGACAATTCTTAACTGCCAACAAAATTGGCACCATGGGAAAAAAATGTGATGTATTGAGAAACTGAAAGGTTCCTTAGGCAAAAAAAAAGACCAAGAAATCTCACCATGGCCTCAAGTAGTGCCTGATGCTGAGAACCCATCTTGTCAAACTCATCAATACAACAGCAGCCTTGATCAGCCAAAACAAGGGCCCCAGCCTCCAGAGCAAAATCACCTGTCCCTCCTTCTTTACACAAAGTTACCTGTGCAAAAACAATCATGTATTACTGTCCAAAGTCACCTGTCCCTACAGTTACTAGGAATAAACTTATTTTTACTCACCAACAATTTTTTAAAAAAAAGTAATTACTTATTGATTTGTAAAATACATGAATTTTGTTCCCCCTAAGACTTACAGTTAAACCAGAAGTTGTTGTAGTATTGCCACACACATAGACACTGCGTGGCGCCACTGATGCAGCTGCCTGTAACATCTGGCTTTTACCAAGACCTGGGTCACCAACCACTAAAATGTGAGGGTCCCCTCTGATAGGTATCCTGTTCTGTCAAGGGAAAAACATTTAAGTACATAGAAACTTACAGCTTTTAAAATGGCAGCAATTTTTTTTTATAGACAGTAACTGTTTTAAAAACTATACCAAATAAGTACATTTTTCTATAGTATGGCAATACGGATAATTTTTTGATAGAAGTATTCAGCTACACAGAAGCATAGCATAATCAATATTTAAGAAGAATACCTTATCATTTGTAAACTTCTGACCACTTCCAAATAAGCAAAGTATGAGTGCAGCCTTAACCATCTTTTGAAAAAAAAAGGTGTTTCTATATTAAAATACATCGACGGAATCAGGCCAAAATAATATAACTCTATGGGTACAATATGTTTTAATCAAATCTAATAATATAAATGTTTAGAAATCTAATTTTATTAAAACCTCAAAATACCTCATGACCAAAAATGCTAGGACAAAGGGACCTGAAAAAGAAAATTTCCTAATTACCAAAAAAAATCAACTATAAAAACAAGTCTTAATAAAATGACGCAAATAATAAAGATTTCAAAAAGTATACATACTAATTTAATTAAAATATTGAACAAAATATTTTTAAAATCCAACTTACGACACAAGGAGCTGAAACAAATTCTCCTGACTTTGAATCTCCTGAATGGCATACAACTCTTTCATTGTGAAGTCCATGGCCAAGCCTGAGCCTTCTCCGCCATCTCCAAGTTTACGTTTATTTCCTTTACTATTGTTTACACTGTTGCCATGGAGATAGAGGAGAAACATGCATTTGTCTTTATTTTTTCCTCGACCTGATGGATTCATTAAGAGTCAACAATTGAACCAACTTATGTGATGTCCCATTCTACTTTAGATATGGCTAAAAATCTCACAATGATTTTCCAATGCTGGAGCAAATCAATAATTTTTTTGTAAACCAACAACAGTTTGATGAAACAAACACTGTGTCAATTTGTGTTTTACTTACATTTAAAAAAAAAAACTGTCGTAATCACACTTATTATTTGTTAAAATAAGGAACTCATTAAAGTAAATGTAATGTAGATGAAAGAAATTTTTTTCAACACAGTAAATTATTCTTAAGTAGTGTCTTTCATAGCTGATATTTGACTAAGTGAGAATGTTGTGTAATTAGTATAACAAAATCTTACTCTCATCTACGCTGTTGACCTTGACAATCCCTGACACTGTCACTACGTCACCAGGCACACAAGAATCAACTGCAACAAACAAGTCAAAATTATATTATTCCAGCACAGAAGTGCATTACAAATTTGTAATTGGCATTGACAATCAATAATGCAAAAGAGAAATGATATGACACAAACCCAAGTCTCTGGTCAGTTCACAATCAATTGTCCGAGGTATCCGTCCTGCTTCTTTCTGACTATCAGGCATGATTTCTTGTACTCTACAATATCAGGGAGAAAAAAGTGAATTCTTAGTTAACCTGCTGTATTATAAAAACTGTATTCTAGTAAAATTTTAAAACAAAAATACTATAATTTAAACAATGTTTTAAACCAATAGCTATTAGTGGAGATAATGATTTGTTATTTTTGGTAATGTAATTCTATATCACAGTTTCCCTTTGTTTTCAACATTTACGTATTTTGAAAAGACAAGCACTATGTGCACTAATATATTTAACATCCCAATAGTTGTCTATTAGATAAAGAAGCTTATTAGACTTAAAGCATGAAAGTTACCTGATAGTCTGCCAATCTATAGTCTCTGTTAGTTTATCACTTCTACAAGACTGGAATGTACGACCTCTGCATTCATCTGCTGGACACTGAGACAAAAGCAATTGTCAAATTAGCTATCATGATTAAAAAAATTTTAATTAACATTACTACTTAAAAATGAATAATGATTATGCTAGTTTCAGTTCCATGTTTGTGAATTATGTGTTCAGTATAGTATATCCTATCAATAATGTGTCATCCTTAATAAAATGTTCAAACTTCGAGAGTTTTTTTTTCAACAAATTTTAATTTAAATATTTATTATTCTGTATTAAAATTAGTATTTTAATGATGAAGCAATAAGAAGATAATTTAGTTTTAAATCAGGGTTATATATATATGATTTATAGAATATTTCAGGAATGCAAATGTTTTATCTTTTGAAACTGATACTTAGTTCATAAGGTGATACAGTACCTTTTTTTACCACCCAGAAACAAACATAACATTTATTTTTTATTCAATTAATATTTTACATAATATTTGTAGACATAAAATACCTTTGTCGGAACAGTGTATTTTCCATCAGGCAAAGTAATGGCCTGAAAAATAAGAGAATTTTTAGATGTTTTGGGACCTACTTTAAAAACACTGAATAGCAACTCTAGAGACATTTATGACTGATTTTACATTTTCTCAAGAACAAAATTAAACAGAGTCCACTAATTTGATTCAGAATTTCTTTATACTTCTAAATATCATAATACGGTATTTATTATTTCATAAAAATCTCACACAGCTTAACGTTGAGGAATAAATTTAATCAGCTGATGATAATTGCAACAATCAGATATTTGAGCTAGAGGGTTACATTTTAATTTTAAGATTTTTTAAATATCAGAGAATAAATTAGGGAAGAAAAAAAAAATTTGGAAGAAATTTACCTGAACATACGTACAGTTAGCACATCGAAATGCCATTTTAGTACACAAAGGTTTGATGTTGCCCACCCTAACAACTGTACCCTTAACACTGACAAATTTACCTACAACAAAATGTTTGGATAAAATTTCATTTAGACTCTGAAAACAGTTTTTATAAAATTAATAAACCACAAACATCAATAGAATTTGATTTAGGTAAGAATCTAAGTAATTTTATTCTTTTTATTATTTTATAAAATATTCTGTAGAGAGTTCTTTGAAAAAGGAATGAAGCAAGTATTTCCAGGGACAGCGTGGTTGGGGGGTAGAGCAGAAAATCTCGGAATAGGATCCCAGACTCAAATCCATAGGATTTTCCTGAGTTCATAAATCTGATGGGTGCCTACTTAACGTAAGGGAAAACTAAACTGGCTGTGCATAGTATTGACCACACTATCCCTTTATACGCAGAGGACAATAAAACAGATGAACTCTACTTCATCTGCCCTAATGTGTCTTGAGCATTTATTGTAAACGATGAAAGGATATTATATTACCATAACAATTGGCTCTAAAACTTTTCAATGGAAGTGGGGTCCCAAAGTTGATGATCCTGGGCTGAATAAAGGGTGCACAGTAGCTAGCTATGCTTTCTCTGGATCCACCGAGCTCTTCCACCACTGCAACTGCCTCCTGCTGGTGGCTGTGTGATACAATCTGTGTCAAACATGAGAAGAATATTAATTTAACAACAGAGGAAGTGGTTGAGGGGTACCAAATCAAGAAACAAGTAGTAGACTGAAAGACACCAATAAGTCTATGAATACAGAAAAGTAATGGAATGGATAGTTAGCTATGTTATTGTTTCTCTGATAGAACAGTCATATAATATTTACAAAATTTGTCTATTCAGAGACTTTACTATTCTGATGATTATTAAAAAAAATTTAAAAAAAAAACCAATCATTGCAAGTAATCATTAAAAAGATTTGATACTACAATTCTTCAAATTAATTCTCACAATTACCTGATGCATAGCAAGTCCAATACAAGCAAGCACTTTTTCTGGCAAGTCTCGAAGCTCAGATTCCAAATCGATGTAGTTATCCTTAATAACTGTACAGATAGAACAATGTTCAACAGTAATTTAAAATTTCCTTCAAAAAAATTTTCATTTTCCTAGACCCTAATTAAAATCATCTAAATGTCAGAAAGTACCTGGCAAAACATAGAGGAAGTCAGTATAAGATACATAAAATTTAAAAAGAAATTTTAAAATCCCTTACACAAATTCTAGACATAACAAATTTAAAACATGTGTCTTGAAAAAAACATGGATATGTAACTTATTAAATAAAACAAGAAATAAAATTTAAGAAAAACATGTTAAAGACCTTTATCTGAAGATAGTTCCTTATAGTCCACAGTAAAAAAGCTTTTTTGTTCAATCTCATCCTGCAATAAAACATTGATTAGTACATTTTTAGTTAATTCTGTTCTGTAATCTTTCTTCTTCTTCTTCGTTCTTAATTTTTAGTGTTGGGAGGGATCGAGCCTTATCTGCCAGAGGGTTTGAACTCGAGACTTTTTTCTAAATTATCAACCATGAGCTTTGCCGACTAGACCATGCTTCTATCACAATTAAGGATTACGTGTCAACTGGTTATGCGCCATTGAGGCCATTGACTCCGATTTCAGCCTGCTTTTCTTTATGGATTTACTTCCATAGCCTTTATCCAACCAAGAACAAACTACAAGGCAGCAGTTGTTTGATTTTGGAGTTGTCTCTCCTAGAAGAGTGGCTGTCCCCAGCTAACGAGCCTCATCTGCCCGAGGGTTCGAACTCGAGACTTTTCGGTTTAGCAACCATGAGCTTTACAGACTCGACCATGCCGACCCCAAAAGTTCTTTAATGATTTTGGTCAGCTTATTTTTCTATAGGTATATAACAACATAAATCTGTTTGTAATAGCTAATATTTCAACACTAGCAATATGCTTAATTAAATGCAAATTAAATTACAGTATATGAAAGCATAATGATCTTATAATAATGTAATTACCCAGTCATACAGCTTGCTCCAGCTAACAAAGAATTTCTCAAAGACTTGAACCTTTTCTACAACGGGTGCATGATCAGAGTAAACCTGGTCTGGGAAGTAAATGCTCCAGCCAGCATAGGGGGAAGCAACATGGAGCACAGTCTGCACTTTTTCAGGCCTGATCTGTCTTGGCTGAGATTCCATCAGACTGGATGCTCCACTGCTTGATGGTGTAGCTAAAAAAATTACATCAATACAAATAGTTAGAAATAAGAACAAAAGAAAACCTAATAAAAAATAATAAAATGTGATGGTGAGATTCTTTAAAAATATAATAATCGTCAATTGACTTATTAATTAAAAATGTCTTAACCTTAATCGTCAAGTATGTCATACCACTAGATCTATTTAAATGAAATGCATTTCCACCTACCATTACCAAAGTTTCCTCTGCCTCCTCTTCTATTATTATTGTAGTTGTTTCCTCTCCACCCACGATAGTTATTACCACGGCCTCTCCACCATCCTCGACGCTGATTTCCTTGCCCCCTGACGTAGCCTCTGGAGCTGCCGCTACCATTCGATACAGGAGATGGATTGCTCATCTTTCTAAAGGCTAGAGTAATTTCAATTTATATTTCATAACTGATTAGGCCTGTAAAAAAGAAAGTCCAGTCCATGTATCTTAATTGATTATTATTTTGTTTTGTTAGGGATTCAGCCTGGTCTTTAGGAGAAAAAAAAAAATATGCTTAAGTAAGTTGTAAATGATAGAACCTTTATTATAATAAAAAAAAAACTTCATTGAAATTAGGTCCATAACTTTTAAATATGAACTAGATCTAGTTCTAGATCTACTAGCTTTTAGTATTATTTTAAGTAGGTCTACTAAATACTAAATAATAGGCAATAAATATTAAATAAGGGCTTGGCATAGGTTCACTAGCCATTTTTTATTATTTTTTTTTAAATTAAAAATTATTAGGCCTAACACTAACAGTTAACACTTAACAGTATACTAACAGTGACTAACACTGTCTAACATAGTTTTTCTTACTAAATCTAGAATTTACCCAAATTTCAAATTAAACATGACTACTGAATGATAGACATTCATATTTAATCCATTAGGCACTAATTTTGAAGTTTTTAGTTCATTTTAAACTAAATTACTTAATTTAATATTTATTGACACTCACTGCCATGGCCAACACACCTCTCCATGACAACTCTTCTTAAGCTTGAACGTAAAGAAAACCACAAATAAGTTAGACTTTTTAAGTGGCCATGTACCCAGAGTTCCCCACTAGTGATCATCAAATAGCGGTCACGTGGTTTAAAAAAATAAATAAATTTGGTTGTCATTCAAAAGTCGTGTCTTATTTTAAAAAGTGCATGCAATATTTGATTTATTTCTTCATATAATGATAAAACTAATAATTCTACAACCTCCAATTCATTTTTGTGACCTCCGGGCTGATATTTTAGAAGTTCTATTAATTTTAATGAGACCGACTTTTAAATTTAGCCTTCATTCTCCAAAGCAAATTTTAAAATGCTTTTCTGGCATATTTAGCCTTGCCACTAAATAACCTGGCGCCGGCACTGTTTGCACGATTACAATACTTTCTCAATAGGCTACTATGTATACGAGAAGTAAAAAAAAACAAGACCCACCTTCCCGTTTTCTCCGCCAAAATGACATCACAAAGATTGAGATCAGGAAAGATTATTTCAAATAATTACTTTTTAAATTAGGCATAGGCCTACTCAAAACACTTTTCTTGGACAGTTACCATTTTAATGTATATGTGGGCGATGTGGGTTTTCGTGAGAACCTCCGGAAACTTTAATTCAAGGGAAATAACTACAAAAAAGATATAACAATAACAATGCATACACGACTATAACAACACGCCGTGTTTCGAAACAGATCTGTGTCCAGACTACACTACTGACTAGATCTAGAATCTATAGTCTTCTTTTGATTTCTAGGTCCCAATTTAAAGATCTAGATTTCTAGGTAAAATCTTAGTTTAGCGTCGTAAATTCGGCCAAAACTAGTAATGTAGGAGAGAGTGAATTAATGAATATGTCATTAAATATGAGTATATTTTCGTATATTTTGATAAAGTATTATAGATAATTGAATAATAGATCACCATTGATGGTTAAATCAATTTAAATATCCTGAAATTAATTTTTATCAACCCTGTTCGAGATAGTAAATTTGCTATTAAAAACAGCAGCCATCTTAAGAAAATGTTATTGAGAGTAGCTTCCCTTTAATTTCTATTCATATGAAAATGTATTTAAATATGATCGTCTTGTTGTGTAGTCCGTATTACAAAGCATTTTTTTTTAAATTAGAATTTCCTAAGAAACAACTTTATTAATTCTAGAAGCATTGTGAGATGCAACTTGTATCCATGTATTAAATCACGTTTTTTTTTTTACTAATGTTTATTTGATCTTACTATTACTAAATAGTTATGAGTTTTTTCTTATTGTTTGAATGTTCACTATTTTCATTTCAGGTTTTTCTTTTCATCAATAAGTAATTCTATCGTAACTTATGACATTTTTTTACTTCTCTTTACCTGAATTAAACCCAAACCTCCGTCATATTTTTGTCGTCAATGTCACAACAAGTCATAATGTAAAAAAATACGCTTCACTCTGCCTTATCTAAGATCTCTAACCATAATTTTGACAACATTAAATGTTTGTCATCATTTATATATACAGAGAGACAAAATGTAATATCCACCAGCTTCCCTCGTAAAACATCATCTAAAACAATGAGCCAGTCCACCCCTTAAGTGCGTGTTGTCATTATGGTCGATCGCAAGTCTCCACCTGCCAGACACATTTTGGTTATCCTTTGTTGTCAGATTGTCAATATCAAGTACACAAGTGAGTGATATGGGGTTGTCCATAACTGATGTCACATATGATTTGCTACGGGAGTGAGTGAAGATTTGTGACGTCAACTCAGGCGGCTTTGCAATTTATGACGTGTAGGTCTCATGAAGGGAGGTGAACGGGGAAACATACCTAGGTGATTGACGGAGAACCTCTATAATGCTTTGTTCAATCAAAATAACGATATATAAGCATTAGTATAAAACGAATCATCACAAATGTTGCAAGCCTGCTAGTTTAAGACATTCGGCAAAACGGCCGCAACACATTATCCCCGTCCAAAAGGCTTGCCACCAAATGCCTGCCGACGAATAAGCCGCGTCTAATGCGGGGCGTTAGGAATACGGCCATTAGCATGGGCCACGTTAGAGCACCAGTAGGCTATCGCGCTTTGTAAGATGACGTAAATACTTAAATTCAATTTCGCTAAACTGCGCGAAAATTTATTAATGTTCCATCCTTTGAGGAAATTTATTTTCTTGGACTTAAATTGAAATATCATGTTGACTGTCTGGCTCTTAATTTCCGAATATCACTTTTAATGTATCAAGATTCAGAGCTATAATTTACTTTAATAAGTGTCATCTTATCGTTTATTGTGGTTTTTATAAAGCGCAGAGCACTTCAAAATCGGACGGCCATGCTGTTTTCACCAATCTTCTTTTGGAGCTTAATATGGGTAGTCTAGTTCTATACGGTGAGAGCTTAATACATTTTTAAAGGGCCGAAAGTTTCAAGACAGCAAGCTTGCAGAAATAACTACGTACGTTTAAATGGACGAGTGATAGATGTGTTAGGGGCCGTTTAATGAACACCAACTTATGTAATCAAGTTAAACGTCGCAAAAGCGTCAAAAAGGCAGTGCTTGTTGTTTTTTTTCTATAAAATTAGCCTAACGGTCGGCGGGTACCGCTACATGACGTCACGTGAGAGCGTTAACTCGGTGACGATGTGCTAAGTGGGGGAATGAAAAAGGCGGGGTTCAAGAAATGCGACTCGGCAAGCTTTTTACATTTCTTGACCCTTCTTAATAGTTCTTTCGTCCCCACTGAGAAAATGGATCACCAATGAATGACGCGTCATACTTCTACAGCTGGTCTTCCTCCCACAACCATCCCGTTTTCACGAAAAAAAAAAACCTGACCCGTCTCCAAAATCACATCGCTGAGTTCTATTCAACCTCTCCCCACCACAAATCACAATTTCTATCTGAAACAATATGTTCATATGTTTGTTCTGTAATAATGCACGCTGTCATTACTATCTTAAGAGCGACGTCATTTATGAGCGATCTAATACTGCTTACTGCAAATAAAGTGTTTAAAAATTCGACCTCCTAACAATTGTTGTGGTCTTGGATGCACACTATAAAGTCTGATAAGGTCTATTAGTCATTCATGTCAACCATATTTTAAAAAAAGAAAAATTACTATATAGGGGGTCATCCATAAATGATGTCACGCTTTTTTTGACGATTTTTACCTCTCCCCCCTCCCCTCCGTCACACTTCGTCACAAAAAGCCAGACCCCCCCCCCCTAAAATGACGTCACACCTCAGCCTACAACCCCCCCCCCCCTCAAAATTGCAGTTGAATTGTTTTTAAACAGCTATATTTTTCCAAAATCTTGTCTGAACTCTGTCAAAATAGAGTATTTTAATCAATTATTACAATGTATTAAAACAGTTTTTTAAAACGCAAAATAACGTCTAAAATTCGTTTTGTAACATTGCTTTTTTAAAATGCAAAAGTGTGATGTCGCACCATCTGAACCCCTCCCCTCCCCCTCACACACAACGTCACAAAATTACGGGCCCCCCTCCCCCCTACGAGTGTGACGTCATTTATGGACGACCCCCGGCATATATTAAATAAAACAATACAAAACAATCATATTAAACCACAAAATCAACACAAAAGACATGCGAATAGACAATTTTATTGTTTTTAAAACATGGCCGCTGCTTGTATTTACTCATTGTTGTCTCGAACGGGGTAGTTTAAAGTTTATTCCAGGATATTTATGACTGGTTTGGTCTTGGATTGTGATTTGGTATTCAATTATCTGTTATATTATGTAAAATATGACATAAATATGGCCAAATGAAAGAAATATTCATTAGTTACCTTCATCGCACATTACTAGCTACGTTGGAATTTACGACGCTAAACTAAGATTTTACCGATTTCTAGATCTATATCAAACTGTAAGCCTTATTCATATACTTTTATACTGTGATGAACTTAAACTTGATTTAATAGGCTATTTTAGTAGGCCTATTTATTAAACTATTTAATTTATTTAGTTAGGGCCTAGCACACTTCACTATTATAGTACTATTTAATTATTATATAATTATAGTGAATAGTGTGACTTCTTTTGAGTTAGACTAGTGACTAGGTCGCTAGACTATACTATTATTATATCTATATACTAGAAATTTAGATCTATATACTACGGTTCATTACTCGATCCGATCTAAAATCTAGATCTAAGTTATTTATAATATCGAAGTGTCTATTCATTCACAGTCGACTGTGAATAGCCTATTGGGGCTATTCACAGTGACCGTTTTTGATAGATTTAATGTTAAAAATACCTAACTAGGCATGAAGATATGTGGTCGAGCGGTCATTGGGAGTGGCTGCCGTGCCAGAAGGTGTGGGTTCAAATCCTTCAGATGCCCTATTAACTATGACTCTTAATCTATGCCTCTCAATCTTAATATCAAAATATTTTTTCAGTTACTTAAGTTACTCATCGAAGGGTTACTTTTGTTAATTTTTTTTGTGACGTTATTGTTGGCATATCAGCAAAAAAAAAAAAAAGAGAGGAAAAAACACAAAAGTGTGATGGAAACTGTGAATTATAGCTGATTATATTCTAGTGTATAGATTTAGAGTGCATAATTGATCATCTATGACCTACGTAGCCTCAGTAGCAGCTATCTATATATATAATTCTCTTCTTCGAGCCGTTAGAAAACAAGCTGCAAACGCTCTCCCTACCTCCCCACCCCTACATGGTTTTAGTGAGCTGTGTTCACTCTAAATGTTTACAAGCAGAGCCAACGATTTTAAACGTAGGGGGGGGGGGGGGGGGGAGAAGGGGGGGAGGGAAGGAAGGGGGGGGGTAGGGGGTTATGGTCCTTAACGAGCTACTTATAGTGTTTTAAAGAAATATTTTCAGTGTCAGCGTTGGTACTGTCGAATTCACAAATTATGAATTATTGAAAATTAGAAACAACTAAATAGCGGCGTATGTTATGCCGCGGGCCGGCTCGTGTGATATAATATTGAAAATTGTCAATATAATAGGTCTAATGACTAGTGATTATAATCTTAAGCAGTGTTTCTTCCAGACTTTTTTCTCCGGGGGGGGGGGGGGGGCGCACTTGAAATCTTCGGGGGGGGGGGCGCTAAACTTTCTTCGGGGGGGGGGGGGGGGCGGACACTGTTAAAAGTATATATTTTCTATATAAATTATATAAATTTCATTTCGTTCGGGCGGGGGCGGTAAAAAAATTTCGTAGAGATGCCTGGAAGAAACTGTGATCTTAAGCAAGTATTTGGTTTGTGCATTGTGAGAATCACACACAAAAGCTAGTATCTGATATTAGCCTAAAAGCTAAACTAAACTTTAATTGTAATAACTTTTTTATAACAAAATAAAAATAGCACTGCTCTCTTAATCTATACCTCATTCCCCAGTCACAATAAATGCTTTTATTATTTTAAGATATTATTCACAGTCGTATTTAGCATGAAATGACAGCCGACTTTGAATAGCCGTATTGGGGCTATTCACAGTCGGCTGTGAATAGCCCCAATACGGCTATTCCCAACCGGCTGGGAATAGCCTTGGCCTATTTATATTTATATTACGCCTTACGCCTAATATTTAAGTTTAAAGTTAACCACTACCAAGTTACTAGAGGCTATTTTTTTTTAACTTAATTAAGTTTACTTAGGCCTAAGTATTTTCCTATTTGTTATTGAAATTATAGGCTATAGGCCTACTATTTAATATTTATTGTATGTTTTTAATTTTTAAGTTTTTAAGTCTAAAAATTAAAAAAAATAAAAACTCCTTAGAGTGTTTCAGTGTAAGAGTCTAAGACTGACTAAGACTAAGCCAAGCACTAGGTCACTTGACTAAGGCAACTAACAAACAACTAGATCTATATTGCAACTGTTATTCTAAGTTAACAGTTGAGTTAATACTGAGTTGAAGTTCAGTAAGTTGACCCTTCACTGTCACATAGTCTTAGTCTTAATGAATGTAACATGTATTACTATGCAAGTCTTACTCTTAGTACTTTAGTAATAGAGTAATAGTAGTCTTACTGCTGTGTTTTAGACCATTAGGTGTTAGGTTTGTTATATTAACCGTGTTAAGTGTAAGTCTCTAGTCACAGCACTACTCTACTGAACTGTAGCCTAGTGTAGTAGACTAGTCACTGTGTGTTAAGTGGTATTCAGAGTAAAATGTGTGTGTAATGCTGTAAAGTACTGTCATTTAATGTAAAAGTCAATGTTGTACTTGTGTATTAGACAGTAAACCAGTATATGAGGTTACAGTAAAAATCAGTAAAAAATAAACTTAGGCCTAAACATTTTTAACCATTTTGCTCCTAGGCTGCTGCGCATTTCTCACTCCCCACTTCTTAAGGAAAGGGGCAACACTCTTTAAAATATAATCTAAATATAGGTTGGGTCTTTTAAAATTTTCAGAACAAAGCAAATCTCATCCACAGCAGACATACATTGCTGAAACAAAAGTAAAATGGACAACATGTAATAAAATGAATTCTTTGCTACACTTAATTGAACAAAAATAAATTAATTCATAACCATGCCAACAGCAAACACGCTTTGTTGTAATGGACGTAGCACTACTAGACAACTACTATTATTAGCAATTTCCAATTTTAGAAGTACCCACATGTCTAATATTTCTTAAATTAAATATCATTATCACTACTACTATTTATTTTCTTCTAAATTATAAGTGTCCCACATGTCTAATATTTCTTAAATTAAATATCATTATCACTACTACTATTTATTTTCTTCTAAATTATAAGTGTCCCATCATAACTTAGTCCAAAGGCATCATTAACACAAAAATCATGACTCCACAGCAAAAAGATGCAAATATAAAAAAAGAAGCGTTTGGCGATATCAGGGGTTAAAGGGTTAAATAAGTAATTTACTCTAATAGATAATTACACAACATATAGATCTAGATCTGGGACTTACTCAGTGGGAGAATACAGGTGTGGATAAGGGTCAGGCCCAGGCTGGAGTAACATATTAAGCCTCTTTGTAAGGGGTCGGCGTGGCCGAGTCGGTAAAGCTCATGGTTGCTAAACTGAAAAGTCTCGAGTTCAAACCCTCGGGCAGATGAGGCTCGTTAGCTGGGGACAGCCACTCTTCTAGGAGAGACAACTCCAAAATCAAACAACTGCTGCCTTGTAGTTTGTTCTTGATTGGACAAATGCTATGAAGCAAATCCAAAAAGAAAAGCAGGCTGAAATCGGAGTCAATGGCCTCAATGGCGCATAACCAGTTGACACGTATCCTTAATTGACGAGAATTGTGATGGAAGCATGGTCGAGTCGGCAAAGCTCATGTTTGATAAATTGGAAAAAAAAAAAAAGTCTCGAGCTCAAACCCTCTGGAAGATAAGGCTCGATCCCTTCCAACACTAAAAATTAAGGACGAAGAAGAAGAAGAATCCTCTTTGTAAATAGTAATCAGTACAATGGTTACAAGTACACTAAACAAGTACTTGTACTTGTTTAGTGTACTTGTGTAAAAACAGTAACCAACTAGAACAGGCATAAGGCACACAATGTCAAACTGTAAAAGTAGAAGTAAAGTTCCCCTTCCAAATCTGATGATATATGGGGCCATAGAAGTAGAGTTCACATGTTTCTGTGACCTCGGCATATGAAGAGATAGTGTGCTCAGCTCTATGCCCAACCGCCTTTACTTTCCCTAGCGTGAGTTAAGTACCCATCAGAGCTGGGTTGAGTCAGGGACGGTCTACTGATTTGAATCAGGATTCGAACTCGAGACTCACAGGTTAGCAGTCTAGCTCTATACTGCTAGCCCACTCCATCCCTTGATTACATTTCCCAACCTACACTTTTTAAAAGAACCCTATTTGATATTTTAAGAATTGTTATTGAAGCCCTTATTTTTTCTGTTTAATCATCATGTTGGATCACAAACAATGTACTAGCCTTCTCACCAATAGGCTGTTGAAATATATTGAATGTATATTTACGCCTTCACATCTATTTAATGAGTTTTAATATATTTCACAGATCACAATGTCAGAACCTCCACCCTTTACCACTGATCTACAGTTTTGTCCTTTCTGTGGCTCTGTGCTACCTCTGCCTAGTATTGGACAAAGTATTATTTCATGTGCACGGTGTCCAGCTACAAGGAACTTAAAAGGTAGGTTAAGGGTTAAACTATAGACATGTATCATTTCGTATGAACAATATCTAGCTGCAAGGAATTAAAAAGGTAGGGTAAAACTAAACAATTTGATTGGTGCTACTAAATTAGCCATACATGAATGTCATACAACATTGTCAGATGGTAGAACACAACTGATAACCTGAAAGGTGAACCATTAGGTGTAGCCCAGCAACCAAATACAAGGGTCCCAGGAAATTTTCATCCAGTGGCCCCACTCAAGCTTAATCAGCACCTAGGATAAGAGGATTGTGTTGGGACCTCAAGATCTACACAAATTACTTCTTGAGCATTAGTGTTGCATATGCTCAGAGACATTCTTAGGGACAAATTTAAAATCATGTGAACAGTTGATCAAATAAAATAACTTTCTAGTGTAATAAACTTTTACTCCATCACATTGACTTTTTTTACCTCTTAGTTTGTCATTTTTTAACTAATTTTTTTAGCATAAATTAATCTATCATTTAACACTTAGAGGTATGTTTAACTTTACTCAGATATTTTGCAACAATCAAACCATTCAGTTTAAAATAATTTTTAATTGCTTTTTTAAATTGATTATTTTTTTATTGCAACTGTTATCTGTTTTGATAGGTGTCTAAGGGAGGAAACTGCCATCAACTTTTGTTCAGATTTAAAAAATTAGTAGCTTTTCTTTTACATCTGTTTTCTCCAGAATACCAAGATGTCACAGAAACTTTTATCATTCATTTCAACGCCCCCAAAAGAAAACAAAAGAAAAATAAAGAAGCAGAAGATCTCATAAAAGAAGAGTTGATACCTGAATTCCAGGGCCCAACTGTAAGAAGTTCAGTTAATTAAATGCAGTATTTGATCTGAAATAAGCCTAACAAGTTGCTCTTAAAAACATTTTCTGCAACTAATTTTTATTCTGTCTGTAGTTTAATAATTTTAATGGATAAAAAAATTGTCTGATTATAATTTATTTTAGAGTTTATTCTTGAAATTAATTCACCTTAAAATAGTGTAATTTTAAGTGGGGAGGCTGGGGATCCAACGTAGCAAACAATCAGCTTCTCACCATAGTTTGGTATATGGTGAACCAGTGTTTAAAAATTATCTTTGATGAATTAGGTGAACGAGTGTTTAAAAATTATCTTTGATGAATTAGGTGAACCAGTGTTTAAAAATTATCTTTGATGAATTAGGTGAACCAGTGTTTAAAAATTATCTTTGATGAATTAGGTGAACCAGTGTTTAAAAATTATCTTTGATGAATTAGGTGAACCAGTGTTTAAAAAATTATCTTTGATGAATCAGGTGAACTAGCCATTTAAATAATTACCTTTGATGTACCAGGTGAACTAGTATTTAAAAATGTATTCTTGATGAATCAGGTGGAGCGCCAGTGTTCCAGGTGCAACCACGACATCATGATCTACACAACCAGGCAGACACGATCGGCAGACGAGGGTCAGACAGTTTTTTACACATGTGTCAAGTGCAAGTAAGTTTCACTTTTTTGTGTTTCTTCTTCTTTGTTCTTAATTTTTAGTGCTGGAAGGGATCGAGCCTTATCTGCCAGAGGGTTTGAACTCGAGCCTTTTTCAAATTTATTAACCATGGTCTTTTGCCGACTCGATCACGCCTCCATCACAATGAAGGATACGTGTCAACTGGTTATGCGCCATTGAGGCCATCGACTCCAATTTCAGCCTGCTTTTTGGAGTTGTCTCTCCTAGAAGAGTGGCTTTCCCCAGCTAATGAGCCTCATCTGCCCGAGGGTTTAAACTCGTAACTTTTCGGTTTAGCAACCATGAGCTTTACCGACTCGATCACACCGACACCTACTTTTTGTGTGATGTGTGATATAAGTTTCACTTTTTGTGTGATGTGTGATATAAGTTTCACTTTTTGTGTGATGTGTGATATAAGTTTCACTTTTTGTGTGATGTGTGATATTAGTTTCACTTTTTGTGTGATGTGTGATATAAGTTTCACTTTTTATGTGATATGTTGTTTCACTTGTCTTTGTGATATGTGACAAAAGTTTCACATGTCATTGTGATGTGTGATATAAGTTTCACTTTTTTGTGTAATGTTTCAAATGTTATAAGTTACACTTTTTGTGATAGGTGAACAGAACCGCTATAACTCTCAAATGTTTGTGTGATGTGTGAAATGCTATAAGTTTCACTGTTTTGTGTGATTTGTTTGTGTGCTATTTAATGTTGATTATTATTTATATTTTATAAACTACAATACTAATTTTTTTTAAACTGTCACTGGATAATCAATGTTAAACAACCACTTTAAGCAGAGAACAAAATAAAGAAAATTGTTTTTAAATGTTTTTATTAATTCTCTCAAGCGCAAGTTTTTTTTTTTCAAGCTTATATGTTTTTGATATATTCACATAGAGATATCTTAAGTCAAAATTTTCTTTTATTCTTGGTAAAAATACAATTTTTCATTGTTTTGTGACCAGCTACTCTTTGTTTTAAAAGATAATATGATTTATTTATTTTTGTTTTGTTTTGCAGATTTCAAGACATTGAGTATTCCTAGTTTTTATCCCATGCCAGAGTGAATACAGTCCAATGAATATTTTGCTGCTCTAACTTGTTTATACATGTCAATAAAATAAAATAAAATTACTAGTGCTGTTTATGTGTGAATTTATAATATGGTGCATATATAATATGGTACAAGTTATTTGTAGAAACTTCAGTGCAGCTTTACAAATGTTTATATGTTTTTATGTAAGTGTTGTTACGGTCTGGGCTTTTGATAGTGTTAAGGCTGAAGTATCCATATTTGCAAAATCTACCTAACCTCTAAGTTCTTTCTGCTATCTATATCACTTCCTTTCCAATTCTTCTTATGCTTATAGACGTGTGTGTACTATAATGTTTACTTTTTAATCTCAATATAACTAAAACACTATAGTTTTAAGGTTAATGTAAATGTGTAAGTAAAAGGGACGCTGCTCAAAATCTACGCAAATACTTTTATGTAACAATCCTTACAGTTTAATGTTGATGATTAGGCGTAAGAATAAAAGAATGAAGAATAAAATCTTTGTTCTTAGTTCTAACGATTCCATCAAAGTCCACAAGGTCAAGCGTCATCAATATTCTAACCCCTCATACATCACACAGCCCATAAGGTCAAACTACATCAATATTCTAACCCCGCCCACATCACACACAGCCCATAAGGTCAAGCTACATCAATATTCTAACCCCGCCCACATCACACACAGCCCATAAGGTCAAGCTACATCAATATTCTAACCCCGCCCACATCACACACAGCCCATAAGGTCAAGCTACATCAATATTCTGACCCCTCCAACATCACACAGCCCATAAGGTCAAGCTACATCAATATTCTGACCCCTCCAACATCACACAGCCCATAAGGTCAAGCTACATCAATATTCTGACCCCTCCTGGATCAAAGCCCATAAGGTCAAGCTACATCAATATTCTGACCCCTCCAACATCACACAGCCCATAAGGTCAAGCTACATCAATATTCTGACCCCTCCTGGATCAAAGCCCATAAGGTCAAGCTACATCAATATTCTGACCCCTCCAACATCACACAGCCCATAAGGTCAAGCTACATCAATATTCTGACCCCTCCTGGATCAAAGCCCATAAGGTCAAGCTACATCAATATTCTGACCCCTCCAACATCACACAGCCCATAAGGTCAAGCTACATCAATATTCTGACCCCTCCTGGATCAAAGCCCATAAGGTCAAGCTACATCAATATTCTGACCCCTCATACATCACACACCTCAAGCGCAGTAGCGTAGCGAGGGGGGGGGGGGTGGCGGGGGGGGGGGGGGACATATGTCCCCGGGCGCCGACCTTAGGGGGCGCCGAAATGGGTTGGAAAAATAAATTGAAAGGTTGAGGGGGGTGCAAATCGAAAGTTTGAGGGGGGGGGTGCATATGGAAATCTCGAGGGGGGGGGGTGCAAATCGAAAGTTTGAAGGGGGGGGGGTGCATATGGAAATCTCGAGGGAGGGGGTGCAAATCAAAAGTTTGAGGGGGGGGGGGGTGCAAATCGAAATCTTGAGGGGGGGGGGTGCAAATCGAAAAGTTTGTCCCCGGGCGCCGGGAAGGGTCGCTACGCCTCTGCTCAAGCGTCATCAATATTCTAACCCCTCCATCATACACAGCCCATAAGGTCAAGCTACATCAATATTCTAACCCCTCCCAAATCACACACACATCCAGAGAATGTTATCAGCTGATGTTTGCAAACAATGCCAATCCATCCCCAGAAAGTTTTAAGTTTGAACTTTACTCTTGTTAATATCAAGATAATTTCACAATAATAGTTTACAGAAGCTCTTTTTTTCTATGTAAAGCGAAGTAACTCCATTAAAATAACCGATTTATAAGCCTAGCCTAGTCATGTCCCCTTAAAATGGTAAACTCTCAGTCAACACGAAAGCGAAATAACTCCATTAAAATAATCGACAAGATAAACCTAGCCTAGTTACGCCCCCTTAAAATGGTAATTTCTCAGTAATTCACACGCACAGAAGGCGATTGTGTTTGGGTGGTTGGTAAAAAATCGGAAAAAATAAACCTCGTGTTTTTAAACCATCTTGTCTTTTAACAAAAATTTTATGTAACAACGTTTTTCAAGAGAGTAATGTATGTTTATATTGTTTATTTGTGAGTTGTTTAATAACAGAAGACTATGAGCTATTGGAAACAAATCTGCCCACGTTTTAAGACAATGAGAAAAATAAAAAACTTGAAACGTGTTGGGTTATGTGCTCTTTATTTCAGCATTTTAAACTAGTTTTAAGAATCATTTGAGATCCGCGTCCGGGGTACTTTGCAAAATTGATTACCGCGTTCGTGATCTAAATGATACAGACACAAAGAGATGAAACTTAGGTAACTAATAAATAAATATAATAGATAGTGTGTGATGACGGGGTTAGTGTGTGACGACGGGTTTTGTGTGTAAACAATGAGAGCGTGTGACGTTTGTGTATGTTTGAATGAACGTAGGACAGTGGCTAGTACAAGTTAAACAAAAAAAGGGGAGGGGGGGTGTTCTGACAGGTGCGTGGCTGAGTAATGTTCATCGGGTTAACAATAAGTTGTTGTTTTTTAATGGGGGACGGGGGGATGGGAGTAATGGAATGTAGCACACGTGTCAAAAATTGTGATACGGTATGTTCATGAGCGATATCAATTTTATTTTTTTAAAAACCAGACAGATAGTGTTAGTGTAAGAAGACATGTTGACTCATGTTGTGATCGTGTAAGACAGGGGTCTCCAAACTACGGCCCGAGGGGGGGGGGGTGTAGGGTCGGGGTTAGGGGAAAGTGGGGGGGGGGGGGGTTAGTGTTTTAAAGCAAATATTTTCAGTGGCAGCATTGGTACTGTCGAATTTACAAATTATGAATTACTGAAAAGTAGAAAATAAAACAACTAAATAGCGGCGTATGATACGCTGCGGGTCAGCTCGTAGGTACTAAAGTGCTAAAGTGACCCACGCTTTTCTTTATAGTTATTTAAATAGTAGTCTATAATTTATTTTCTACTTTTTAGTGCATTATTACATAAAAGCTTGTTATTAAAACGTTTTTTTAAATGAATTTTTTTACCCCCTCCGCTTGTAGGCGTAGGCCTACTGTCATAAAAATTAACTGGGGCAACATGTATGTTTATTTTTTGTTAAGCGCGACAACTCTTTTATACTGTCGACAGCATCATCCAAGCTTGGTTACTTCCCCTTAAGAGAGGATTATAATATCTGAATATGTGACTATGTGATGAGGGTATGTCATGCCACCCCACCCCCACCCCCCCCCCCCCTCTCCCTACACGGACAATATAGAACACAATATTAAAATCAAATATGAAATAAATAATTTAATCACCGTCCACCCACACTAAGGTAAATGGATGGGGTGAGTGGTGTGTGTGGAGGAGGGAGGGGGGGGGGGTGACTATGAAGTAAAAACAATCGGTAAAATAAGCTTCCTCCTTAGAGGCATCTTATTTATTTAATAAAATAACATCAAGTTTCAAAGACTAGTTCTCTTTTTTCAATATTGTTTGAACGTGTGGGAAAAAATTCTACCTTCCTTTTAAAACATATTAAAGAAATAATACATAAATTGAAACGCGCTGGAAGTTATGTGATGTTGTATTACATTTTTAAAACAAGTTACGAGAAAGATTTCAGAATTATACCCTATGTACTTCACAATGTCGATGGATGCTTTAGTGATATAGAACATAGTTTTAAAAAGTTCTAAGCTTGTTACCAAATATATACTGATATATGTGTATGTTGTCTGGTGACTACAGTTAGATCGGTTGTGTGATGACGGAGTTTTGTGTGTACGTGAAAGTGCTACGTGTAAACAATGTGTAGTGAGATTGTCTGACATTCGTGTATGTTCGATGGGTGGGTGTAGGACAGTGTCTAGTGCAAGGTTAACAAGTGTTGGTGTGTTTTGACATGTGGGTGGCTGAGCTAGTGTTCAGGGGACGAACAATGAGAGATGGGAAAAGGGAAACAACTGGTGACACGGACTATGGAGGGGGGGGGGGGTGTGAAGGAGAATAGATTAAACACGCATGTCAAAACCTATGACATGGTGTGTTCAACAGCTATTTTACTTTTTATTTTTGATATGGGAAATTTCTTAACGTGTGTTGGCTATTGAAAAGACTTCCCAAGATAAACTAGCTCAACTGTATCGCTTTGCTGTTTTTGGTAGACATATTAAATTGTGTAAGTTGACTGGATTCTGTTGTTCATTCTGTGTGTGTAGATTCTGTGTGGGGATTATGATTTGTTCGTGGGATCAGCAAGGACTGTTTATTTCTGGACAGTGCTTCTATGTAATTAATAGGACCCATCACCAAAAAAACCAACAACAGAGGAAACACCAACAAGGCTCCATCAATAAAAGGCCCGATCAACGAGAGGAACAATAAGCTAGAGGACCCATCAGCTAGTGTACCCATCAGCTAGAGGCTCCATCAGCTAGATCAACAAGATGATCAAACACAATGAAAATCAGTAAGTGCGTAGCGGGCTTGTATATGTATACAGTAAACAAAAACAAAATATTATAAACAAACTACCACAAACCAACGAACATAAGTTACCACCATTAACTGACAACAGACCAACGAACAACAACTAACCCATTAACAGACAACCAACTAAACATAGACCACAAAATCACTAACTTTCAAATGACAAACAATTAGGACGTCATTATACCTCCCAGTCTACAAGTAGGACATCATTACACATTAAGCATGTAAGTAGGGCGTCATCACACATTCCAGTACATAATTAGGACGTCCCAGCATACAATTAAGATGTCATTACACCTCACAGCTTACCATTTGAACGTCATTAAACCCCCAAGCCTACAAGTAGAACGTCATTACACTTCCCAGCTTACAAATAGGACGTCATTACACATTTAGTATATAAGAAGGACGTCATTGCAAATCCCAGCACACATGTAGGACGTCATTACATATTCAAGCATACAATTAGAACGACATTACACATTCCATCAAACCATAGGGACGTCATTGCACATTTTAGCATATAATTAGGACCTCATCAGCCATTACAGCACACACGTAGGACGTCATTAGACATTCCAGTACATAATTAGGACGTCATTATATATCCCAGCATACAATTAAGACGTAATTACACCTCCAAGCTTACAAGTAGGACATCATTCCACACTCCAGCATAAATGTAAGTCAAACTTGCACCTCCCACCATGCATT